ACTTTTTATAAAAGTTGTCACTCTTATGATAATAGAATAAGAATAATAATCTCATTATATTCATATTAGGTAATTTGCAACAAACCTAATTCCGACCATTTTCTCCTTTGAGAAATTCTTAACTGTCCCAACTCAGAAAGAAAATTCTCAACTTTTCTCTTTCCTAGATTCTGGGAGAAGGCTATTCTCTACCCCCTCGCCCATGGCGATTATCCATGGCGATTATTGATTATTAAGACGCGAAGCTGCATATTGAACATACAAGATCCACAACGTGAATACACAACGAGACAAGCGAACCGACTATCTGTTTAAAAAACTATTTAAAAACGTTTATATACAAAACTATTTATACACGTTTATATACTACTTCACATGCACTCGTCAGCAATGTGTTTCCCACTTAATGAACTTAAAAGCTATAATTATAATAAATATTATAAATACTTGATAAAATTTAAAAACTACCTATTTTGCGAACGTTAAGAATACAAATAAAATATTAATACACTACAAGTTTTCATTTACAATTTGAACGCACGCGTTTTCATTGGCTGTTTGTTTGCATAAAAAATAAAGAACTTTTTTAAAATTAATGGTTTGTTAAGTAGGTATTTATATAAAAAGTAAACTTTGAAATTAGTTTTATAATTTCTGTTTATTGAACTGTTATTTTTCTTTTATAATTGCAATCTTGTAAACACTTTTTTCTGCGTTTTGTACGCTTTCGATTTGCTTGCATTTCGACAACAAGTAAACAAAGAAATACATTCTTACAACCAAAAATATATTTCGACAAGAAACTCATCTTTAGAGGATTTTAAATTGATAGAACCGACTTTTGCTCCTCGATTTATGTTAATAAATTAATTCTAAAATTTTATTAAATTATACTCAAAGATATCCGAGATTGAACCAGTTGTATGAAGCTGCTGGGAAAAAAAGAGCAAAGATTCGAAAATAAAGTGAAAATAAAAATAAACATTTAGATTGCCTTCGTTGGACAAAAAAAGCGTGAACAGTTAAAATATTTTTTAAATCTTGTAAATTTTAAGTAAAACTAAAATAATTCTGCTAATCAATTTGCTTGATGACGTAGAGATCAATATCAATGCTTGATGACATAGAGATCAATATCAATGACTCTAAAGAGTAAGATTCCTAAAGTCTTTTTGTTAATTTTTCTTGTCAAAGACATTGAAGACTCGCAGAAAAATCAGTTAGACTTTTAAGTTGATTGTGACCAACAAAAATATAAAAGTGACCTCGATACACAAACTAGATTAACTTCTAACATTCCGGACAGTGGCGGATCCGCCACTGTTCGGAATGTCCGGAATGTCCGGATCCGCAACTGTCCAACACAAACCTCAATCGATTGAGGATTGTGTTGTGTTGTGGGAGGGGGGGAACAAGTCAATGAATAGGGTTGGGTGTGGTGTTTTAAACCCTATAAATTATTTTTATAACTAAAACACTTTATAAGTGTTTTTATGTGACTTTTATTATACATATTACATACATATGCACTAGTTATTTTTTAAGTTTCTTTTGTCTATTTTAGTCAACAACTATCTTTTATAAAATAAGAAATATTTAATATTACTGAAATAGTTCGGTCATTTAAAAATGTAACTAGACATATTACAAAAATAAGCATTTTGAAAAAAAATTCACTTTTTAGGTATTTTACAAAAATTCTGAAAATTTTCATTGAAACTAAACGATTTATCGACCAGCCAAAGTCAATGTTTTCATCAAGCTCACGTTCAATAGAAATTAATGTTGATCCAGAAAGACGTTCGTTTGTCATTGTTGATCTAAAATAATTTTTTGTAATTTTTTGTTTTCTAAAACTTCATTTATCATTAGCAGATGTAACGGAGTCAAGTAGATTTTGTAAAGTATAGAAAAGTTAGGGAGACCGGGTGCTAACTGTTTCTCAATCAAAAACTGAAGTACATCTTTCAGTTGTATGTCAGTTGTCAGTGATGGGAATAATGATCCATACACTTCATTGAAAGTCTCATACCCTACAACTGTTTCTTCAGTATTTACGTCGTTACAATAAATTTGATATTATTATATTTTCTTTAGATAATTTGACAGATCAAGGCAATCAAAATGTGTAACTGTGTTACTAAAGTTGTGAAATTGTTTATTTTTTTGTTTACTCTTTCATCTCTCCACAGCTCTCCTGTCATGCGTTTCTTTTTGACTGGATGTTAGGCTAACTGAATATAAAGAAAAATGAGTTTTCTTTAAATTTAGTTTCTACATCTAGTTCGGCACATTTTTCACTAATAAATGATTTGACTGCTAAATTTAGAACTTTAAAAACTTCATCGTTTCACATGTCTACAAATTTTTTTTGTAACTTCAATCAACTGTTTTGCAAATAAAACATCTATATTTTCTCGTTGTAAATAGTTAGATAACAAAAAAGATTAACAACTTTGGCAAAAATAAACAAATGATTGTTTTTTTTATTAAAACTGATAGTCCAATAGCTTCTGCTCTAACATTTCCAGAATAATCTTTAGATTTTCCTAGATTTATACCTTCTAGAGTGGCTAGAATAGCTGAAAAAGATTCAACATCAGCATCAACTGCATGCTTCGTACTTGCCCATCTTGTATCAGAAAGTCGATTCAGAGTGTCTACTGTTGATTCATATAGGCGTTTCTGGTACTCTTGGAGAATATGAAGTCGTGTTAAACTAGATGTAAGGTACTTATCCAATTTTTCAGCTGTGCCTAAAAACATCTGGACATGGTTGTTTACAGACATTGCTTCGATAGCCACCAAATTTAAAACATGAGCACAACAATGAACATAGATGGGATTTGGTGAAAGCGTTTTTATTCGAGTTTGAAGACCACTTTTAATTCCAAAAATTACATAAGCACCATCATACGCTTGTCCTCTGCAGAGTTTAATATCAATGTTTCTCTTTTAAAAGTTTAATATCAATGTTTCGAAAGAAAATTTTTTAAAACCTCTGTTTTAAAATAATTCCTCTCATTCATTCTCTTTTTCATTTTTTTATGAATTTATAACTTTTTTTTAATGTTTTAGGGGGCGCCGTTTGATCGTTCTAGGAGGTGCGGGGGGCAAGCTGCCCCCACCACTGAGTCCTGTTCAATGGAAATCAATATCAGATACTGATTGAACAACAATCATTTTGAAACTCTTCTTTACAAGATCAAAAAGAACGCAAATTTCCATTTTTATGGAGGAAAAACGAAACGGAGAGAAAGTTAGAAGAGATTGGCTTGTTGGGAGTAAGACTGTGGCATCAATTTTTTGTTTTCCGTGCTCCTTTTTGTATTCGTCTTTTAGTGTAATTTAACTAGTCCCGGTGTTCAATCCAGCTTGTTGTCTTGAAATGGAGGTATACATGAAAGTCGAAGAAAACTTTCAGATTGCATTAAAAGCCATCAATAAGGCAATATTTACCGTAATTATTATATTTAATGAAATATCTTAATTGAATGAAAAATAGCTATGAATAATAAGTTAAAAGTCCTTGGCATTAAAAGTTTTTGTGTTCAAAGCTACAACAGTTGGGCAAATATGGCAGGTATTTACAATGGAGTTCAAACTTTCAACAGACAATCATTCCTTGCTCTGGTTTTAGTTTAAAATTACGTGATTGACGCAGGTCAATCACGTAATTGCAATTGACGCAGGTCTGGCCATTTTTGCACAATTAGAAGGAGGCGTTAACTTCCTTTTTAAATGCTACTCCGCGGAGCTCTGAGATAATACTGTTAGAACCTCTTGGAACACTTAAATAATTAAAATTTAAAAAATTCAAAAAAGTTTATGCAGTTGTGCGGCATTAATTAGAATTCTGGTTTAGAACTAAGAGATCAGAGGTTCGACGCCGGCTCTAGCCCAATAAATAACATTGGTAAGGAAGGAGGGTGATCGTCTTTGTTAAATTCTCATCCGTGGTGCTTACTAGTTAAATAAGAACTATATTTAGATAATTGAAGAGGAATGTAACAAGTTTTCTTTCCTTCTTCTTTACAAAAATCTCAAACAGACAAAGAACTACGCAGTTTTTATAAACGTACACGTTTATAAGCTGAAAATATTGTTAAACTCTGCACAGTAAAATTTAAGAAATTAATTTTCTGAGAAAGTTTGTCTTTTATTTTTGTTTTTTTAGAAGAAACATTTAAGGCAGAGAAAAGCTTGTTGAACTTTTAAATTAGGTTTATGCAAAGGAACTGCGTTAATATCTCTAAGTGTGTGTTTTAATAAGAATCATTCTAGCCTTGTCTGTTTCAACTTCTAAAGGCAAAAGTTCTTGACAATAGCTAGATTGCTGAAAGCTGGAAAAAAAAAAAAAAAAAAAGGAAAATGATGTTAAAAAAAACGAAACGACGTTAAAAAAAAACAACATCGGAAAATAACGTTACTACAATAATATCAACGTGATTTTAAATTTTTTTATGAAAATAAATAAAAAATAAGTATACTAATTAGTATGCTTTTTGTTATATTAAGATTTGGAGTATGATAGAGCATCCAAAAAACTTTTTTTTTTTTGTTTTTTGTTTTTTAGTTGCCCCAAGAAGACCTAACGGTCTTGTCACAGAGCACCGCGGATGTGCATTTAACCAGGAAGTTCACGCCTCCTTCCTTACCGTGACACGAAAATATGTCCAGCTCGTTTCGAACCTCGATCTCCTGTTTCTAAAGCAAGCTCTCTAACTACAACGCCACGGCCGCAATAAACAAAGTTTTGGACTCGGACATCACAAAAGCTCTGTGCGGACCTGTACTTATTTATTTCTATATATAAACAAATAAGAAAATAGTAAATACAAAGAGCTAGATTTAAATTTAATTATAGTTGTTGCAATTTAATTTATATAAACGTAGTGCTTTTTAAATTCATAAATTAAATTTAAAAAGCGTAAAATTCATTTAAATTTAAATTTTTTTCTTTTACTTCTCCGTCAAGTGCATGCATTATCTCCTCAAGCGCAGAGAATGTTTGAATGTGGCTTTATTTACGTTTTATGTTTTTGCAAATCAGAAATCTTATCAGATATTTCCGAAACCACTCTGATTACCTCTTGATATGGCCGCTACAAAAACTTGTGTGAAGTTCTTTTTATTTGGTTTTAATGTAATATTTTGGGTAAGAATTTTATTTTATTTTTTTTAATTGAAATAAAATTGTAAACAAGCATCAAAGTGAACGATCTGATTCATAAATCTTAGTTCATAACACGCATTATTATATTTAACAAATTAATTTATACCACTATATATACCTATCTAATATGGTTTAAGTTATTTTTATTTTAGTATGTTTGCATGATTATATACATGTGTATATAAAAATATACTGCATTATTCTAATACTAATTTTTATCATTGTCTTAAAATATTACACTTTTGTTTAAAAAGTTTTTTTTTTAAATAAAAAAAAACTATACTTGTTTTATATCTATAACAATGTAAAACTTTTATTTTATAGAATTAAATAGAATATTTGAAATATTTATTAATATTGAGATTTGTTATGATTGCAGAGTAATATTATCTAGCCTACTTCTGAGTCTCTGTGTTTATTGTTTGAATTTTAGTTTTTGTCTTTTTTGAAAAAATGAAAAGGTTTCAACAAAGTTCAAAATGATTTTGACTCATTGTTTTATAGAATTGTATTTGCGTTTTTATATATTTAATAGCATTTTTATATATTTAAAAATGTATAGTTTATTATTATTCATTAAGCTTGCTGGAGGAGCTGCTGCAGCCATTGGAATTTGGATGTTGTTTGATGGTGGTCGATTTAATAAATTTATTGGAAATTATACATTTACAGTACCTGCATCGATACTTGTTGCTGCTGGACTTTTTGTTTTCTTTGTTGGGTTTTGTGGGTGTTTTGGTGCTGTTAAAGAACACAAATGTTTACTTGGAACTGTGAGTTTTTTGATGTTTACATTTTTAATTTTCATATTGTTAGTTTAAAAATGATAATTTATATTGTAATAATGATAAAAAAGAAAAAGAAAAAAGTTTAGAAGAAAGAGGAAGCTCCATTAGTTATAAATATCAAATAGTGCAAATTAAATGTAAAATAACTTCTGTAAAAAATAAAATATTTTCAAAATTGGCAGACACATTGATTTCTTTTTTTTTTGATTTTGTTGATTCTTTAAGTTGAGCTCGTTGATATTTTAACTATGTAGTTTACATCCTAAGTAATTATCTAAGTAAATTGCAATTAAATATTTTTATATTTTAAAAAATTGAATATTTGGTGCTAGATTGAGGTAAAATGTTATTTAAGTATTAATAAAAAAATATATTTTAGCATAAATTAGAGGGAGGTTGTTACTATAGTTACTATTATCTCAATTTTGAAAAAAAAATTTAGTTTTAAAAACAAGTTTTTATATTTTATCAATTTGACAATCAACTAAATATATATTTTTCTCTTTATTTTTTTACATTTTTTTATGTGCTGTTGACTTTTTACAACTGAAGTGAAAAAGGGGTAGAGAGCAGAGTATGTCAGTGGAGCTAAGCAGGAAGAATTTGTGCTCCATGCTCAAAGCATTTAATAATTACTTCACCCAAGCTTCACTCTGGGTGTAATATTTTTCACTCTTTACTTTTGAGGTTATAATCATCTTTCTGTACTCCTGTTCTCCTTTGTCATCTTTTTTAAATTAAATTTTTTTTTTCCCTTTTTCAGAGTAATATTTCAATAACTCCATTTTTCTCTCTCTCATTACCCAAGCTTTACAAACTTATAAAATTGCTATCTTATCATAATGGAGATTCGCCAGCAGAAATTGCAAAGGGGTTGATAAAAATATAATTAAAATCATGTGATAAGTTAATTACATGATATATACTTTATAGAATGTTTGTAAAAGTAATAAAAACAAATGGTAACAAATTTAGTATATTATTAGAAACATTTTGAGTTCCTCTGTGCCACCTGAGCGATAGTGGTATAGTTATTTTTTTAACTTTGTATTTGTGTGTTTTTTTTAGTATTTTACAATGTTGTTGCTTGTATTCTGTGCAGAAATTGCAGCTGGTGTGTTAGCATTTCTGTATCGTGACAAGGTAAAAATTTATGCTTTTTTGCTTTTACTTTTATATTCTATTTTTTGTTGTTGTTGTATTGTTTTAATTATTTGTATTTGTTCGAATTTCTTAGATTTATGATGAAGTAACGTACCAATCAAAACTAGTTATAATAAATGATTATGGTACTGGAATAGAAGCATTAGACTATTCAGTTAATCTCATGCAACAAAAGGTTTTAAATATTTTTATTTATTTTTTATTATTTGTTTGCATGGACATCGATTACAGACACAATAATAGTTTATTTGCTGATTTTTCACTTTTTTGACCAGATTGCTTTGTATTAATTAGATGTTTATATTTTTTTTAGATATATATATTTTTTATAAATATTAATTTTATAGATGATTGAATTTAATTTTTTGTGATATTCTTTTTTTATTTTTCTATTTATATATAAATTATATATTATATATAAATATATATATATATATATATATATATATATATATATATATATATATATATATATATATATATATATATATATATATATATATATATATATATATATATATATATATATATAGATATAGATATAGATATATATGTATATATATATATATATATATATATATATATATATATATATATATGTATATATATATATATATATATATATATAGATATATATATATATATATATATATATATATATATAGATATAGATATATATATATATATATATATATATATATATATATATATATATATATATATATATATATATATATATATATATATATATATATATATATATAGATATATATATATATATATGTATATATATATATATATATATATATATATATATATATATATATATATATATATATATTATATATATATATAGAGAGAGAGAGAGAGAGAGAGAGAGAGAGAGAGAGAAAGAGAAAGAGAGAGAGAGAGAGAGAGATATTAATATTTTTCCATATATCTAGCCTTTCTGCTTTTTTTATACAAAAATTTCTATACAAGATTGACACTTTTGTATAGAAACTTAAGAACTGTATATTGTGAAAATCCAGCTATTATTATCAGATATCATATGGTGTTATCCATATTTGTAATATAATATAAAAAATGCTGTACAAACTATTTAAGTTAGATGAGTCAAAACAATATAGTGTTGACTATGTTATTTTGACTTACCAAACTTGAAAAGTTTGGTGAATTAAAACCACATAGTCAACAGCCTTTAAATATAAGATTTTGTTAATAAAAATAGTTTATGAAAAAAATTTGGTATCAAAATTTCAGAATTTTGTCTATTCTATTTTTAAAAGTGTTTTTGTTTGAAGAGTTCATTGCATCTTGTGATAACAAATTCCAATCGTCTACCACTCTATTTGTTAAATAGTAAAAAAAAATTTTTAGTAAATTCTCGATGAAGTCTTCTATTGTGACAGTTTCTGGACATATGGTTGTAAAATCTCAAAGGCTCCCTAAATCTAATATATTCAGTTGAATTTGATATTTCAAACATTTCTATCAAGTCTTCTCTTTTATTCTCCTTTCTTGTCTTTGTCTTCTCCTTTCTTGTAACGTTGGTAAACCTAAAATTTTTCTCTTTTCTTCATAACAGATGACTTTCAGTATTTTAATCCTAGTCAATTTACGTTGTACATTTTGCAGTCTATTAAAATCTTTAATACAATATGGGTTCTATACTGATGCTGGATATTCAAGCTGTGGCCTAATAATTGACTTGTATAACAACTTTAATATGACAACATCAAGATATTTAATTCTATGTTTTATAAAACCTAGTGTTCGATTAGCTTTATTTGCAACACTAAAAAATGATTTCCCATTTGAGGTCATTTGATATTATAACACTCAAATCTCTTTGTATTTATGTCTTTGTAAAACAAGATCTTCTAATTTGTAGTTCAATTGAGGATTCAATTTACCAATATGCATAACTTTGCACTTATCTCCATTGAACTTAATCAACCTCTTATTTGACCAGTCTAACTTGTTCAAGTCTTCTTGAAGAGCATTGCTGTTACTTTCATTGGTAATTGCTGACACGATTTTAGTATCATCTGCAAATAATTCTAATTTTATTATATTATTATTTAAGTCATTTATATAAATTAAAAATAGTTGTGGGTTAAGAACTGAACCCTGAAGTACTCCACCTATAACTTCCTTCCAAAATGTTTTACACCATTACTGACGAATGTTTTATACCACTGTAAAATATGAGTGAAAACCATAACCATAAAGCTTGCAATACAATTTAGATAAAGAAACCGAATCAAAAGCTTTTGCAAAGTCCAAAAATATTATATCAATATTATTGCCATCTTCGATTTCTCTTGTAATAAAATTAAAAGTATCTAACAAATTTGAACAACAATATTTACTATTAAACATGCTGCTCACTTGCTAATAATTTGTTAAAAGTCAAGTGCTTCATCATAACATTGCAAATAATTTTCTCCATAATTTTGCAAATTATTGATGTTAATGATATTGGTTGATATTTTGAAGGATCTAATTTGTTTCCTTTTTTGAACAGTGGAATTATGTTGGCAATTAATCATTCATTTGGTATAACACCGCTATAATATGACATTTTACAGATCAGTGATAACAGGTGAGAAATTGATTTTGTGAGAATTGAAAAATGTCACATTTTGAAGGAAAAGTTACAGGGTCTATAAGTTATCTTTTAAAATTACTGAAACAAAATACTCATTAAAACAATTTTCAATATCTACCTCATTTGTGATAATTGAACCATCAACAGTTTTAAGTACTTTAATTGAATCTTTTATAACTGTTTTACTATTTAAATATGAATAATTGCTTTTAGGGTGTTTTTTTTAGTTTTTAGCCAGATTTAATTCAAAAGCTCTTATATCTTTATTAACTCTTTTTCTTTTATTTTATTTATGGTTTTATAGTCAATTACCATGTCAGTTTTTTTAAATTTTGAATGCCTGCATTTGTACCATAAATTTTTTTAAACTTTATCGTTTTCTGAAGCTTTTTAGTCATCCATGGAGCATATTTTTTACTTGTATCTTAATTTATATTTGGAATAAGTTTATTACATCCAGTATGATACATATTTTTATTTTTTATTTTATATTTTATTTTAGCCATTTTTTATCGACTTGACTAGCATTTAAATCCTTAAACTCATTTTCCCAAACAAAACTTGAAAAATAATTTGAAAGTTCTTTATAATTTTCTTTAACGTTTAATAATTTTGTCTTTTTTTTTTGGTTTTTGATCAAGATTGTTATTTTTATAAAAATAATTGAAACTCAATATATGGGCCCATGTTCAATTCCACCTAGATTAGATAAGTGATTCAAACAGAAAACCCGATTACTACTTTCTGATAAGAACAAGTCTAACAAATTTGTATCTAACCCAAAGCTAACTTAAAATGTTTGCAACAAGACATTTTGATATAAGAAGCAACCATTTAAACATTCTATAAATTCTAAGGCGCTTAAATCTGAATCATTCTCAAGTTTACATGAACCATCACTAAACCATTTTATATTTGAAAAATTGAAATCTCCAAAATTTAGAATTCCTATGTATTTACCATTTTTTTAAGCTTTATAAGCATGTTAAGTTGATTTAGTTATTTTCTGACAACTTAAAATATCACTAGCACCAATTCAATATATACATCCACATAAAACGTTTTCCAGACCAATCTCAACTGAACACCATAATTGTTCGATAGCCTTATCAATTAGAGAGTTTTTAGTAACAGGATAAGATTTTATTGTATTTTATATATATATATATATATATACAAACTCTGATATATATATTATCTCTGCCTCTACTATATTCACAATACTTTTTAAACAAGTTAAAACCCTCAATATTTTTTGCAGATTGATCAGTCCACCTAGTTTCACAAATTATAATAATTTGCATCAGATTATGAACTATTTCTTCAATTAAATCTTCAAATTTGTTAAACAGTGTGTTATAATGTGGCATTATTATGTGTGTTATATTATTATAATGTGTTATATTAATGTGGCATTATTATAATGTGTGTTATATTATTATAATGTGTTATATTATTATAATGTGGCATTATTATATGTGTGTTATAATGTGGCATTATTATAATGTGGCATTTGTGTGAAAACAGTTTAAAAAATATTTTATACTTGTATCCATTTCTTCACTATTATTTATTGAATTACCCAGTATTGTTTTAATGTTCAGTGATTCATGGGGTTGGCAACCAGAAATACTATTATTGGAATTTATATATTAATTTAAACAATTTTTATCATTATTGTTTATTATTGGATTATTTTGCTCTGACCTTTTTAACTTCGTTATTCCTGATTCCATATCCAAAGGGATTGTTGAATTGATCTTTTGAATTAATTTTTCATTTAATTGATTTCTTTTTAAAACCAAACTCTTTGTAAATTTTCTTTTTAATTCATTCTGATCTGGATAAATAGATATTATTTTAAAACTTTCTGAATCTTTCAACTGCTAGGCAGTTTTTAATATTGTATATTTATCTGAACTATCAGGTAATTTGACCAACAAAGGTGTACTTGTTTCGATTGTTTTGTTATTTTCGTTTTTACTTTTGAAGCGATGAATTCTTTTTATTTTATCAGGATTTACTTTTATTTCACAAAAAAGATTTTTACAAATATTTTCATCAAACTTTTTTTTATTTATAGCATCAGAATCAGTTGAATTTCGTGTACCGAAAATAATGATATTTTTATATTTTACCTATGTCTTTCCTTAAATTTATAATACCTTGTGTAAGTTTTGTTTCATCTGTCGATGCATCGTACTTTTTACTATTAAATAATTTACTCCAATCTAAAATGCTAATTGTTTTTTTTTCTTCTAATATTTTAACTCTTGCTGTCAACATAACATTTTTACTCGCAAATTTATCAATTTTAGACAAGTTTTCAACATCTTTACGCCCTTTAAGTTCCGCATCTTTAAGTTTTTTTCATCTTTATCTTTATTCTCATACTAGTAATTAATTCCTTCAAGTTACTGTTCAAAAATATAATCAACTTGCTGTCCCATATCAATATATTAATTACTTTAAAAAGATATAATTATTTAACTTTTTACAATGTTTAACTATAGGTTTCTTTAAAATAAAAATGCATAAAAGCATGTAATGAATTACAGCATTTCTGCAAAATAAACTTTTATTTACCATGTGTCCTTTAAAATGTAGTTTTTTTTTAGTAACAATTTTGGAATGATTTTCTTGTTTATGTTAAAATTTTGTGGGGCATTTTTTTAAAACTGTTTTATGTTAAAATCATTTGAGTAAATTGTATCAATGACTTTAGATTATCAACTTTATAGTATAATGGAAATATTTT